CCTACAATGAAGGCTAGAGGTCTCCCCAAGCCACAGAGCTCCTCAGCAGCCCACCTGCCCCAACAGGCCTGCAATGAGTTCACTACCCACGTCATGAACCTGCTGCGGGAGCAGAGCCGCACTCGTCCTGTGGCCCCCAAGGAGATGGAGCGGATGGTGAGCATCATCCATCGCAAGTTCAGCGCCATCCAGATGCAGCTGAAGCAGAGCACCTGCGAGGCGGTCATGATCCTGCGCTCTCGCTTCCTGGATGCCAGGTGGGGCTCAGGGACCCCTGAGCCTGGCCCCCCAGTACCTGGCTCCCTCCCATACTTCTCCAGGACCCTTGAGCTGCAGTGTTGCCCAGCATATCACTATGATAGTGATAGTGATACCTCCTGGAGTTTCTTGGGAAACTCAACGATTCTCTTCCTTTGTAGACGGAAACGCCGGAACTTCAGCAAACAGGCCACCGAGGTCCTGAATGAATATTTCTACTCCCACCTGAGTAACCCTTATCCTAGTGAGGAGGCCAAAGAGGAACTCGCCAAAAAGTGTGGCATCACTGTCTCTCAGGTGCTTTGAGGAGGCGGGGACAGAGTTCCCAGGTGTTACCTGGGCAGGGGGTCCTGGAGAAGGGGTTCTGCCTGACCCCCTCTGCCCAAACCTGCAGGTTTCCAACTGGTTTGGTAACAAGCGAATTCGCTACAAGAAAAATATTGGGAAGTTCCAAGAGGAGGCCAATATCTATGCTGTGAAGACAGCCGTGTCCGTCGCCCAGGGGGGCCACAGCCGCACCAGCTCCCCAACGCCTCCTTCCTCTGCAGGTGGAGCCCACGGCCACTCTAGCTGGCTGCTTTGCATGCTTCCTGTGTTTGCAAGATGATAGCGAAGAGGGTGTTTTGGGGTGAAAGAGGCCAGGGATGTTGATGTCAAGGGGAGGGTCTCCAGTGGATAGCCAGGGAAGGGTCCCAGGTAGCCCGCTCCGGGGGTGGGACTGCTGTTCTGTGGGTAATTTTTATGCAATCCATGTGCATCCCCAGAGTTAGCTTTCTGGGAGCTAAGGGTTGTATTTACCTCCTGTCTACAGTCAGATGATCCCCCGTGCTTTTCTCTAATTCTCTCTGCTCTCCAAGGCTCTGGCGGCTCTTTCAATCTCTCAGGATCCGGAGACATGTTTCTGGGGATGCCCGGGCTCAACGGAGATTCCTACCCTGCCTCTCAGGTCAGGAGCCCCAGCTCTTTTCTCTTTTATGGTGTGCATGGTGGGGCGGCAGGTACATGTGCCACTGCACGTGCTGAAGTCAGGGCAGCTCTGTGGTTGCCGTCATCTCCTGCCTTTAGGTGGGGTCTGGGGACCAGAACCAGATCTTCAGGCTTGCTGAGCTATGTCACCGGCCCCACCCCCAAGCATATGTCACCCCCACCCCCAAGGTCTGCCTAAGGCTTCCATGTGTCCTGTGTCCATTTGTCACGTCTTTCTTTGTCCCCTGCAGGTGGAATCCCTCCGACACTCAATGGGGCCAGGGAGCTATGGGGATAACCTCGGGGGAGGCCAGATATACAGCCCTCGAGAAATGCGGGTAAGTGGATCAAGGGCCCTTCCGCCTCCAAACTTCACGCTCACCAGGGTGGAGTGTGATCCCCACACAGGGTTTCTTTCCCCTTCTCTGACTTTCCTTCTCTTTTCCAGGCCAATGGCGGCTGGCAGGAGGCTGTGACCCCATCCTCAGTGACATCCCCAACAGAGGGACCAGGAAGTGTTCACTCTGACACCTCCAACTGACCTTGCCCCTCAAGGTCACAGGGCTGGGGGCTCCCACCAGGCAACTCTTGAAGAGGACTTGGGCATCTAAAGGACAAACTCCAACAGAAGCACAACACAGAGAAGGGCAGCTGGGGTCGTGCTCTCCCCAACTGGACACTCAGTGCTGGGGTGCTGACTACATGGCAGGGAAAGTGGGGTGTCCCCCTTTTTTCCGTCTTTTCCCCTCTCACACAGAAAACAGATATGTTTCTCAGATCTCTCAAATCTACACCAACTCTTCCGTTTGTCTCTGGGCTTCCCTACTTTCTTTTCCCCACCCCACTTAAATACTCTGGAATCTGGAGACGTCAGCCCTGCCCGACCCAGAGATGCCAAAAATGGGAACTCCTGGACAGAGGCCCTGGGCCAACACCTCCCCGCACACCCCCACCTTCTGCCCCTCCAGATGGCTTTATTACCTCATACGCAGCTCATCTTAAACCAATAGACTCGCTCGGTGGACAGGAGTGTCTGACTCAGTTATCTACCTCGGAGGGAGCTTCTGCTACTTTAGAGAATCTTTGGCTGGGCTTTGGAGTTGGTTTTGTTTTTTAGAAAATCTGGGATCTGTCTGTATTTTTTTTATTGTTTTTGTTGGTAGTGGTGATCCTTAGTTTTTAATAGTTGGAAGAAGTAGGGATTTTGGTGTGTGTGTGTGTGCGTGTTTTTTTTTTAAATAAACATACTGATTTATTTTTGTTTACCCATGTGAGAAGTAAGAGCCAAAGGGGCCTAGAAAGAGAACAAACACAGTTGGTGGCGGCCACTTGCTCCAGGCCTGCCACGGGGGAAGTGGATTTCGCAGGACACCATGTCCTCACCCTGGTCACTTAGGTGTTCCTAGCTTGTGCCGGCAAATCTCTGCTGTATTTGACATGGAGCAGGATGCCCCTCTAGCCTCCTGTCTTCCCCCTCCCAATAACCTGTGGGCAAGGCTGGACCGAACTCAGTAATTTTGAAAAAGTCAAAAGGCTTTTAAAAAATTTTTTTAAACCCTTTGCAGAGTGGAGAATGAATGGAGGGTGTTCTTGCCAAATTCGCTAAACACGGGCTGGGTGCTTACAAGTGTCTCTCTCCCCCGATTTCCCAGAAATAAGTGTTTCTGCTCATATTTTTTTTTTTTAATCTCATGCCAAAATCAAGGGGGTGGGGAGAAGAGGGAGGCCGCAGAATGCCAGGTATGAGTGAAGGCATAAACAAGGTCTCATCTCAGCCCTGAACCCTTCTGACCCCCTCAGACATCCTCAGGATCTTCAGGACTGTCACAGTGGGGAATCCCTCCCACCAAAGGCCCAGGCAGGAGGGTGGTGGGAGGCAGGGCCAGGGCAGTTCTCTCCTCTCCTGTAAACTTGTAGACTCACAGAGGAAAAAAACAACAACAACAACAACAACAAAAAAAAAAACTGAAGTTTTAAATAAAGAGATTTCTTTTTTCCCTGGGTTTAGTTGAGATTTTTTTCAAAACAACAACACTAGAAACACTCTCCAAAAGAGTAATTCTGACCGAAGCCCCAACAGGTTTCTGTCCTGTCCTCACTACTAAGATCCCAGGATGACAACAGACCAGACTGAACCATGTTGCCTAGCAACTTGCCCCAGCCAAGATGGAGCACTAGTGAGCCCTGTGTGCCGGACTGATGGAGGGTGGGCTGGAGGAAATGAGACCCTCAGTGGGGTACAACCCTGTTCCAGGAGAGGCTGTGCCCGGATGCTGGCAGTGCCCCAGGGTGTGGTGAGACCACTGCTTCTAGTACCTGAAGGACTCTTGTCCCAGAGGCATGAATTCCTGGCATTCTCTGTGACGGGGCAAGATGGGAGATGGGGGAAGGGGAAGGGTACAAGCTCCACCTAGGGCAGTGGCCACAGCAGGGAAAGGGGCAGACAGCACCAGGAGCCTGGGAAGGAAGCATGATGCCAGCAGGGACAGCAGCTGGAGCCTGGGTGCTGGTCCTTGCTCTGTGGGGTGAGCCACTCCCAGTCCCACTGACCCTCCTCTTAGCAGTTCAGCTCCCTTCTCTCCAGGACCCCCCTTCTCCCTAGACAATTCCTAGAATCTGGGCACCACTTTCCAGAGTCCCCCACCCACCCTAACCTACCCACTGGCCCCACCTCTCCCCTTCTGCCCCGCTACCCCATACTACCACCCAGGAGCTGTAGTTGGTGGTCAGAACATCACAGCCCGGATCGGAGAGCCACTTGTCCTGAGATGTAAGGGGGCCCCTAAGAAACCGCCCCAGCAGCTAGAATGGAAACTGGTAAGCAGGCCGTCCCCGCTTGGCCTCTCAACCTCAGAAGCTATCCTTGAGGGTCCCCAGCACCCCTCCCTGTCTGGTCAGCCCTTCCCCAAACTGCCTGGATGGCTTAGGCTTTTCTCCTCTTGCAGAACACAATCCGGACCGAAGCTTGGAAGGTCCTGTCTCCCCAGGGAGGACCCTGGGACAGCGTGGCTCGAATCCTCCCCAACGGTTCCCTCCTCCTTCCAGCTATTGGAATCAAGGATGAGGGGACTTTCCGGTGCCGGGCAATAAACAGGCACGGAAAGGAGGTCAAGTCCAACTACCGTGTCCGAGTCTACCGTAAGGGTTCCATGGTCTTGGCTAAGTCACTCTGCATTTTAGAAAAATCCTTCTTTTTCACCCTTGGCCCTTGACCCTTGGCCCTGGCGTATGTGGACCTCTGATCTCCAAGGCCCTGGTTCCCATGTCTGGAGTGTGAGAACCTTCAAAAGGGCAGCTTCTGATTGGAACTTTCCCTCCAGAGATTCCTGGGAAGCCAGAAATTGTGTATCCTGCCTCTAAACTCACAACTAGTGTCCCTAATAAGGTACAGAAACAGAAAATGGAAGGGTCCTTTGAACGCATCTGTGGGCCTGCATGGTCTCCCATTGAGTTAGAGGACGAGGTCTCCATTCTTTCTCCAGGTAGGGACCTGTGTGTCAGAGGGAAGCTACCCTGCAGGGACCCTTAGCTGGCACTTGGATGGGAAACTCCTGATTCCTGATGGCAAAGGTGAGTGCCTGGGTGCCCTGTACCCGAATGCCTTCTCCCTGACATGCTCCCACATGCTTTTGGAGTTTTGTCCAACCCACTCCAGGAACAATCGTGAAGGAAGAGACCAGCAGACACCCCGAGACAGGGCTCTTCGTGCTGCAGTCAGAGCTGACAGTGATCCCAGCCCCAGGAGGAACCGCCCATCCTACCTTCTCTTGCAGCTTCAGCCCAGGCCTTCCCCTACATGGGACCTTGAATGCAACCCCCATCAAGCCCCATGTCAGGGGTGAGCAGGGAGGGAGGGCCTGGTCTGGAAGGCAGGGGTCAACCCCAGGGCCATCAGACCTGGTAAGCTGATGGGCCTTATGCCCATCCTCACCCAGAGTTTGTGCCTCTAGAGGGAATTCAGCTGTTGGTTGAACCAGAAGGTGGAACAGTCACTCCCGGTGGGACTGTGACCCTGACCTGTGTCAGCTCAGCTCAGCCCCCTCCTCAGATCCACTGGAGAAAGGATGTGAGTAGCCTAGGAGGCCTGGGAGCTAGGAAACCGTGGCAGGCAGAGGGCAGCCCGAGAGCTGGGCTGAAGGCACAATGTGCGGCTGTGGGAATGAAGTCACGAGTTGCGAATATGGCCGGGGGTTCTTACCCATCTCCCTCCTTCCCCTCCAGGGTATACCCCTGCCCTTTGCCTACGACCCTGTGCTGCTCCTCCCTGAGGTAGGGCGTGAGGATGAGGGCATCTATAGTTGTGTGGCCACCCATCCCAGCCACGAGCCTCAGGAGAGCCCCCCTGTCAGCATCAGCATCACAGGTAACCCTTCCCCAGATTCCAGGGACGCAACTCTCCAACTCCCTGTCCTACTCACATGACCCCCAAGAGCCATGCCACCCCTCCCCTCAGTGCACCCAACACCCAGGCCTCTTCTGCCCCACAACAATCCTGTCAAGAGAGAAGTTCACCCTGCCCACTCACTGAAGGGAGATGCCACTGGGCCTGCCCCCAGACAGCCCCACCCGAGCTCCAGTCCCCCTCAGACTACTCTTTGTCTTCCAGAAACCGGCCAGGAGGGGCCGGCTGCAGGTGAGGGACTGGACTAGGGTCAGAGGGGAGCGTGTGACTGCTGCATGTGACTGGGGCAGAGTCAACAAGGAAGGAGCCGTGTGCTGGAGCTGTGCCCTCAATCCTCCCTATGTCCCTACAGGCTCTGTGGGTGGGGCTGGGCTGGGGACGCTAGCCCTGGCCCTGGGGATCCTGGGAGGCCTGGGAATGGCCACCCTGCTCGTTGGGGTCATCCTGTGGCGAAGACGGCAACCCAGAGAGGAGAGGTGAGTGAAAGGCGCTCCACCAGGGCTTCAGAGTGGGCCACCGGAGGCTAGAACACCGTTCCTTCTCAGGAAGGCCCCAGAAAACCAGGAGGACGAGGAGGGACATGCAGAGCTGAATCAGTCAGAGGATGCCGAAACAGCAGAGAATGTGGCAGGGGGACCTTAGGAGAGCCCAGGCAGACCCTGTCCACCAGCTCCTTCGCCGTCCTCGTCCTCCCTCTCCCCCGTATGATCCCCATTCCACCTCATACACTTTCTTCTACAACCAGAGCCCACCTGACCCATGCTGAGTAAACACTTGACACACCTTGCCTGCCTGTTGTCTGTTTGTGAGAAAAGTGACCTCATCCCTAGGAGCCCTGCAGGGGAGGGGCTCACCCCATCCCTCTCACCATGCCAAGCATCTGTTCAAGCTGGGCGGAAGAGGTGCCTATCCTGGGAGAAGGGAAGGATTGGGAAGATTTGCCAACAGATTATTTCATCTTTTTTTTAATTGAATTTGTAATAAAGGAGGTAGTGAGGGGTGGAGAGGAGACAGAGTCAGAACTCATATTAGACGGTGGGAGAGAACAATTAAATTAAATCAACAAGTGGAGGATTGGGGGAGAGCCCACCTTTAAACATCAAATCAAGAAATCCGGGGGAAGCAAAGGATTGGAACAAAAGGGGAATTGGGTGGCTGTCTTTAGTCCGTCCTCCTCCAGGTGGGGGATGGGGATGACTGCTACTGGGCCAGCAGCACAGAGCAGCAGGTACTCCCATCCAGATGGGTCACTCCTCCCCAGGGTCTCCTGAAGGAGGCCTTCGCCAACAGAGACAGGTCATAGAAGTGAGGGAGTGGTCCAAAAGCAAGGAATGGCCAGCAGGGACCCCAATACTGATTCTCCTCTAGCTAGAGGTGGGCAGGGTGGAGACGCAGCTCAAATACTGAGCAGCCAGAAAAAGAAGAAGATGGCAAGGAACAGGAAGAGGGAATCTTGCCAGCTGGAGGCCGGGTGACCCTGTCCCAGATCCACACCTGTAGGAGAAAGGAAAGCGTCAGCAACATGCTTACGGGTCAGGAGGGGGCCCTGGAGGAACTCGGAGAAAGCTCTTACCTGCACCCCTTCGGAAAGGCTCGTGGGCATTGAAGACGGTGGTGAAAAAGCCAAAGGGAAAAGCACCAACACCAAATGAGAAGTGAAAGCCCCCGGTGTCACCAAACGGCTGGAACCCCTAGGGAGGCAGGGAAGATCAGGGAAACCCACAGGCTTTGGCACCGGAAGGACACAGCTGGACAAGGAGACTCACCCCTCTGGTCTCTGGAGCTGGTCGCTGGCCCTGGGGGCGGGGTGGAGTTTTCAATCTGAGGAAAGAGAGAGGGGATCAGCACTTCTGTCCCCTTCTTGGGGCAGAAGCTTCAACGTCCATCAGCGCCCTGTCTGAGTCCCTCACCTGGGATCCTGGGGCTTCTGGCTCCCTCGCCCATAAAGAGGGACAACGTTCTCCCTGCTGATGCCAGCCTTACACACGGGGCACTCTTGCCTGTCTGGCCGTGTCTCCAGCCACTGGAGAGAAAATGCAAAGTGTGTTCAAACACAAAGAGGGTTTTCAAGGTCCCCAGCCCTTTCCGTTTCCCTGTTCATCTCATGAGTACGTTACCTGATGAAGACAGGGCCAACTGGATGGAGGAAAAGGAAGAGAAAACGAGAAAACAGGTCAAACTACAGAAGAGCCACAGGCACCGGACAGGAGCGCCCTGCACCAGTCTTCCCAGGTACTGTCTGCTTTACTGTTATGTTTCTTTCCAGAGTTTCTGCAACTTCCAGCAAACTTGCTCACTTAATTTTTCCAGCTTCTCTCATCTTCAATACCTCAAGTTCTTCCATCTTCAACACACTTGGTCCACTCCTCCCTCCCTCTCACTCCCGCCACCCCTCACCCCTCCCTCAACCTCTCCATTTTCTGCCTCTTGATTTCCCAATTCAACAGGTTTCTTTTCAGCCCCAATTCCATTCTTGCTCCAATTCCTCCAGATTCCCACCGTTACAGTCCTACAGTGCCCTTTCCCTCTCACTTCAAGCTCAGTAAAATCCCTATCTCTATGACCCTTTAACCTCTCTGGAGATCTTGCCTTTCCACAAGGCCTTTGTCCTTGGGTTTGACAACCCCCACACACATCCTATCTCCGTATGGAACCACAGTCCCTAGATCTTGCCCCCCTCCGAGAGGGGCACCTCCCCTAAACGGAAAGTCTCTCTCATCTGTTTTTATGTCAACAGCTGGGTAGATCTAACGGGGTACTTTGGCTCAAGTCTCACCAGTACGAACGTGCAGGGTCTTTCATTCCCCATCCCACCTCCTCCTACCATGCCACACACGCACCAGCTCCTAAGGCCCTCCTTTCCAGACATCTCATCTGCACAGATACGATTCCAAACTCCCCCACACCGCACACAACAGTAAAGACACCAGTCCCCACTTCGGGCCTTCCCTGGGGGGGGGGGCATGCCCTCGAGTCATCGGGCTAACTGCACGGCCCCCGCTCTCGGCCTCCCCATAACAGAGGAACCCCATCCCTCGTCCCATGCTCCCCGATTCGGATTCTCACCAATACAGGTGGCCACACACGCTGACCACAGCTTCGCGAGCGGTCTCCAGACATATATTACATTCGAAGGTCGCGCCCGCCCCGCCCCGCTCGCGGTTTGGCCCTTCGGGGCCCCCGTCCTCTTCCTCCGCTGCTGCCATGGTCGGTTCTGCTTCGCCCCCACGTACCCCTCAGTACCCCCAGACACACACACATATACACTCACACTCGGCACACACACACCCCAACAAACCAGGACCGCCTACTGCCCACGATCGTTGGACAGACTTCAAAGTTTTCTCATGACTATTGGTCGAGATGCCTGCCAATCATACAGGAGTCAAAAGCCAGGCTTGAGCTAGAGGGTGGGGGCGGGAAAAGGTGTGCGTGGCCTACCCTTGCACGATGCTGATTGGCTGAGAGAGCGTCAGTCACTGTGCAGGGCCAAGTGATTGGTAATAATGCGCTCAGCTAGGGAGGCTCTGATTCGTCTGTGCAGCTGCCAGTCACAGCCACAGACCCGGAGGACTGGCTCGGGCCTACAGAAGTGGCCCCCTCTGAGCCGCTTTCTCTTCTTCTCTTCCGCTTTCGAAGAATGTCCGGGTTCCTATTGGACTTTAGAGTGTACGGTTCCAAGCCAAACGATTGGCTAGAACGACATGGGGTAGCTACAAGAAGCGAGCATGCGCAATAAGCGGCGGGGGGGGGGGACGCGGCGTGGGCCAACCCGACGGATGCTGAGTCGACTCCGGTCCCACCCCTCCAACTCTGTTCTGTCGCCATGGCAACCCCTCCGCTATTGCGGGGCCTGTGGTTCAAAGGCCTCGGCTCGGCCTCATCCGGGCCTTTGGACCCGGGACTCTCTCGGCTTGATTGGGCGGTTTACTTCGCCGCTGATTGGCCGAGACCTGGAGAGCCGGTGCTGAGCTCGGGAAAAGAGGGCAGAAGTACCAGGGTCGCAGGGTTCAAGATGGCTCCGACCTCCTTGGGTGACGTAGAGGGCAGAACTTGGGTCTGCCCCTCCCTCCTGGAGAAGCGGGGAGCAGAAGTGGGGTTAGCCCGACGTGTGGATGGTGCCGTCATCGGTCTGCGGCGCTGGTGTTAACCCAACTCTCTCTGTTGGACGACTCAGCCTCTCTAGGTGATTCTCAGAGCAGAACCGAGCCCAAGGCCCACCCGCCCCCATTGTTATGTGACACGGAGCAGACTAAGGTGGACCTCAGCTCCGTCTTAAACCCTAAGAGCAGGAAAGGTCTGGTTCCACCCCTTTCTGAGCGGGCGCCCGAGGAGCACAACCCACCCCTAAGGTGACCCGCGTCAGGATAGAATAGATCCGCCCCTTCCTTGTAATTTGCCTTGCAGGTCTTTTTCTTGGCTGGACCTCTGGGAGCTTGGCCGGTCCAGTACTCAGTACTCAGTTACCCACAGTGTGACCCAAGGCGCAGAATTAGGTAACAGTCCTCCCACTACCAAGGGCTCTTCACCAAGCTGTGTAAACTCATTCAAGGCAAAGGTGTCCAGGGGCGGGAGACAGAGACAGGCTCAGGACTGTCCAACACTGATAAAAAGGGTCCGTGTGACTCAGGAATAAAGGAAGGTGAGAAGCTGGGACTCAGTAGAGGGTACGGTGGAGGGAGGATTCCGGAGTGCTGAGGAGGTTTAGATACAGAAATGGCGAATATGGAGGTAGGAGTGATGAGCCGGTCCTGAGAGAGGGAGTCAGGCTTGACCAGCAGGCTACTTGCCTTAGTTTCTCATTCTATTAACCCTAGGAAGCAGAGTTTCATTGTCAAAGTCTCACTGTAGCTCAGGCTGGCCTCAAACTCAGAGATGCTCCTGCCCCGGGGTCTCAAGTGCACTCCACCAAAGCCAGCAGCTAGACTGTATCGGGCGAAGGGGTTGGTTGGCTCAGACTGGGTGAGCCCTTCAGAGAGTTCAGAGCGAAGGAACTCTGAAAGGACTTAGGCAAACAAGCGTGTAAGGGAAAGAGGGCCCTTTATCCTTAAAGGCCAAAGGTGGGTGGAGGAAGGAGATGGGGGCCCGGGACAAAGAGCAAGTGGACAGAGAGCTGGAGAGCTCGGCAGGGAAAGATGGAGTTCTGGGCAGAAAAGGGTGAACTTAATGCTTGACTTTAGAAGGTCCTTTGTAAACGTGTGTTTATGGGGACAGGAAAAGGGGTGTTTGGGAAACCTGGAGTTACAGGGACTAAGCATAGCGCTGCGGCTCAAAGAAAGGCAACGGTCAGAGCATGTGAACGGAGCTTGAGGATGCAGAGGACGTAGAGCAGGGAACCGGGGGCACAGGTGCTGGAAGTGCTGGACCGAGCGCTGGAGCTGGCAGCGGCCGCGAGCCCGGCTGAGCTCTCCCGGGGCGGGGCCAGCGAGAGGTCTGGCAGGCGTGGGGAGGAGATGCTGGTCTCGGAGGAGGCGATTGGCGAGGCCCGCCGCCCATCATCAACTCTACTTCCTGGCCAGCCCCGGAAACCAGCACGCGCTGGGAGGGGTGGGGGAGATAGCGGCAGCAGTAGCCCCGGCCCTCAGAGAGCCGGCAGTGGGGAGGGTGTTGGGGGTACGGCCCCCCACCGTTCCTGCCGATATGGGCCCAGCTTCCCACTCCCACCACCCCTCCATCGGCCGGGGCTAGGACATCCCCAAATCCTGTCGCCCCCTTGGCACCGACACCGAGACAGAGATAGAGCCAGCCGCCACCACCGCTGCCGCAGCCTGGCTGGGGAGGGGGCCGGTCCCCCAGGCCCCCCCGCCCCATTGAGGTGTGGGCGGGAAAGGGGTGGGAGGAGGGCGCGGGAAGGGGCCGGGATGGGGGAGAGATGCGGCTGGGAGGGCCGTCTGGGGGCAGGGTGGCTGGGGAGAGGGGCCTGAGCGGAAGAATGGGAGCGACGAGGGCTGGGGACGAGCTCCGAGGTGGAGGACTTGCCTAGCGGGCCCGAGCCGTGTGAGGGGAGAGATGGGAACTCCGAATTTGGGACGGGGGTGTGGACAAGGGAATCACGGAGAGGGGATTCCCTTCAGGTTCCCCAGCCCTTGTTCTGCGCCTTGGCCCCACTTGACTTTTGGGTGGCCGTGAGGCGGCCAGGACTGCTTCCTAGAAATGCTGTCAGGCACCCGTTACCCTCTGGGCACAGAAGCGCTTATTTCTCAGCGGCCTTCCACGTTGGAATAGACCCGTACTAACACGGGAGCGTCTTGTGGGAGGCTCTGAGCGCCTTTGAGGTTGTGTTGCTTGTGTTCAGCTGACTGCCGCTGTAGGGAAGGACGTTTAATTGCCCATTGGAGCGGCCCTCATCCTTCACGTCCCATGTCTTGTGTTAAGTTTGTGACATGCTCCAGTGCCAAGTGTACGGGAAGACTTGGCGTGTCACATCTGTTGGGGGTTTCCATGTTGCTTACAGGCTTTTTATTTTCACGTGCTTGTTTGGTTTCACAGGTGCTCATCCATAGCCCTGGAGTGGGAAGGGTCTTCCTATGTGGGACCCAGTGGCTAGCCCTGCTGTGATCACAGGGCTTGTTTGCCTTCTTGTGGTTCTCACCACAAATCTGCAAGCTCTGTGATGTGACCTGTCAGTGTGGCGTAACCATAACATGTACTTCTGGTTGCACCTGCCATTTATTTCGTATGTTTTGGGACAGGGTCTCTCTGTGTAGCCCAGGCTGAACTCAGACTCACAGCGATCCACCTGTCTCTGCCTCCTGAGTGCTGGGATTAAAGGCGTGCGCCACTATGCCCACCTAAATTGTTTGTTTGACTGTTTCACATAGCCCACACTGGCCTTGAACTTGACACAGAGCCAGGGAGCCAGGCTGGCCCGGAATTCCTGGTCCTCTGCCTTCCATGTCACCACATCTAGTGTCCCATGGGACCATTGTCGCGCCCCACTCTGTACTGAGAGAGATGACATCTTCATGGTCTGTACGCTGGCTTCCCTGTGGCCGTGTGTAAAAGGGTGGTTGTAAGGCTTGTTGTCAGTACCTGGGGAGGTGGTGTTTCCTAGTGTTCCTCCATCAGAGCGTCCATCCCTGGCCTGCAAGTGCAGCTCAGTCCCAGCACGTGCCCAGCATGTGAAAAGCCCTGCTCTGTACAAGCAGAGTGAAAGGAAACAAAAGCAGAACCATATTCCGTGTTATTAACTGATTGCAGCCCTAGAATCCCTTCACCAAGATTTACTGAGCACTCCCTGAACCTGCTATGTCTGGGCATGGACACAAGACAGTCCTGTCACAGTCCCTGCTCACAGCCTGGAGGAGGTGGGCAGGAAAGGCCAGTGAACTTTTTTTCTTTTTGGTTTTTTAAGACAAGATTTCTCTGTATAGCTTTGGAGCCTGTTTTGGAACTCACTCTGTAGACCAGGCTGACCTCGAACTCATAGAGACCCACCTGCCTCCGCCTCCCCAGTGCTGGATTAAAGGAGTGTGCCACCACTGCCCGGCCAGTGAACTTTTGCCCACTTTGTGTTATCGGTAGTTCTCAAGCCCAGTGAACAGCAGACTTACCTGGAAGGCATGTTAAAACACAGGCTGGCCCGGTGCCCAGGCTCATTATGTCTGGGTGAGGCCCAGAAGTTATATTTGTACACCTTGACAACCTCTGACGTGAGGCGTGGTGGCCCACACCTTTAGTCCCAGCATTCAGGAGGGACGGCGGCAAGAGTGTCGCGACCAGTCTGGGATAGCCAGGGATGTGCCAGGAATCTGTAATGAAAGCAGGGCCTGGAAAGGTGGCACTGAGCTGTGTGGAGCCAGAGGAGGGAGGGCCTGCCAGCCACGGGGAGCAGTGTGGCGAAGCCTTAGCTCATGAAGGACCTGTGGTGAACCTGAGGAAGGCAAGAAAATCATTCTGGAGATGGAGTCAGAGATAGAAGCAAAGCCAACTTCTCAAAAAAGGCCTTTCAGAGAGAGAAGTGCTCAGATTTAGGGTGCAGAAGCCTGTCTGTGGAGGGGAATGGAGGGCAGCGCTAAGGGGGTACGATATACAGTTGGGAACGGAGAGTGGGCGCTTCCAGGTTCAGGACGAGAGAGCCTTTGACCTGCTTGGAAACACAGGTCCACAACTCCCTTTTTATCATCTGTGACCCTGCTGCCTGCAGTGGGGGGCAGTGGAGTAAAGAGGAAGCACCCAGAAGGCAGGTTCTACAGGCAAGTGTCTCCCATGCCTGAGCCTCTCCCCATCTGCTCCATGTGTGTCTCTGCTACGGGCGAGAGACCTGCCTGCCCCCACTGGCTCCTCTGTGAGGCTAGAGGGAGAGAATACTCGGGTTGGTTTGCCGGTCTGGAGAAGTGCATTGGTATGTCGTGTGTAGGGTCATAAAGGACTCCACCGAGGGAGAAGAGATTTTTCTAGACATGTGTTTACATTCCTTTCTCTGTCACTAGGTATGTTAGAAATTTATGTATGTGTGTGAACATATTAGCCTTCCTATGCCTGGGATTTTCTGGATCTCTGACATGAGCCTTTTCCTTGTTCCACAGTATTCTGTCACTGTCTCCATGTCTGCTCTGTGTGTGTGTGTGTGTGTGTGTGTGTGTGTGTGTGTGTGTATGTGTATACAGTGACGAACGTAGCAGGGCTCCATGTCTGCTGTGTGTGTATACAGTGACAGGACTTAGCAGGGCTCAGGAGCACAGGATGTCTAGGCTTAACCGAGAACCTACTGCCAAGGACCTGCGTGGCCCCAGGTGAGCTCTTTCCCGTGGAACCAGTAATGCTGATGGAACTTTGTAAACTATCTCGTGGCCACACATAGGGTGGAACATACTGTATAAACCAGTCTACCCGAAATAAAATGGAACTGCTCTTTTGTTTTAAATTTTACTTATTTTTTTTTTTTTTACATGCCAATCCCAGTTTCCTCTCCCTCTGCTCCTCCCGCTCATCCTGGTTCCCCCACTCCACCCCCATCTGCTCTTTAGAGAGGTTAAGGCCTCCCCTGGGAAGTCACTTAGGTCTAAGCTTCTGATAGCCACAGAAAGAAAGGTGAAACGCAGTGAAGTTGCTTTGTTGGTATTTTTAATGGAGCCCATCAGAGCGGGAAGGTTCAGTCCTGGTGGTGCTCTTCCCTGGTGTCCAGCACAGAGCGGGTGTTAGTAATGGGGTGTTTTACACGCATGCTTTTCACCCAGACTCCTCAAGAGTCTGGTGTGCATTTAATATTCCCAGTCCCTCTCCACTGGGAGTGGCCAGTACAGATATGGACTTCCTGTCCAGAGCGGCCGTGGTACCTCATGCCTGTCAACTCAGCATGTAGGAGACAGAGAGGATCGCTGAGTTAGAGACCACCCTGGGCTATGGAGCTCCAGGTCAACTTGGATTAAAATGAAACTTTGCCTCAAAAAAAAGTCTTTTTCAGCCACAAGTGTTAGCTGTGCCTTCACTGTTTCCTTATCACTTAGTCAGAGCTGCAGCAGTCAGCAGACAGTGGACAGCTATCTCAGGCTGGGTTCCTTCGCCCATTCCTGGAGATGTCCCAGCTTTGCCTCCTGGTTTACCTGGCTCCTCTCACCTGCAGGTGACCAGAATGGAGCTGTGGCCCGGGGCCTGGACGGCGCTGCTGCTGCTGCTGCTCCTCCTGCTGTCCACCCTGTGGTTCTGCAGCCCCAGTGCCAAGTACTTCTTCAAGATGGCCTTCTACAACGGCTGGATCCTCTTCCTGGCGATCCTCGCGATCCCTGTGTGCGCGGTGCGAGGACGCAATGTCGAGAACATGAAGTAAGGGCCGGGGCGAGAACCGGTGGGTCCTGAGGGAACCCAGGGGTGAGGCGAGGAGGGGGAAAGGACTGCAGAGGCGCCCAGGAAGTCATAGGCAGGCGGGCACACAGAGGCATGGAGGTGGGCGTCAGTGGACCCCACCGGGCCCCCTTGCCATGACCCCACAGGATCTTGCGTCTGATGCTGCTCCACATCAAATACCTGTATGGGATCCGAGTGGAGGTGCGGGGGGCTCAACACTTCCCTCCCACGCAGCCCTACGTTGTGGTCTCCAACCACCAGAGCTCCCTCGACCTGCTCGGTGAGGCCTCATCACAGGGCCCCGTCCTCTAGCTGAGCCTTTTCTTCTGACCCTGCTTCCCTAGAGACCTTAATTCCCCCTCCTCTCGAATGTCCTCCCTGCTCAGGTCTCCTCTCCCGGGGTGGGTCTGCCCTCAGCAGGTGCTCACGCCTGTAGTCAGGTTTGATTTCTCAGGGCTCCTCCAATCCACCTCTCCAGTTTGTGTGGGTGGTGACCTGGGTGGGAGTGGTGCCTGCTCTGATCCTGCTTATACCCTCATCCATACCCCATCCCCACCCCTGCCAAGGGATGATGGAGGTGCTGCCAGATCGCTGTGTGCCCATTGCCAAGCGGGAGCTACTGTGGGCTGGCTCTGCGGGGCTGGCCTGCTGGTTGGCGGGAGTCATCTTCATTGACCGGAAACGCACGGGAGATGCCATCAGTGTCATGTCTGAGGTGGCCCAGACCCTGCTCACCCAGGATGTGAGTCCTCCTGCGATGGGGACTGGGGGTTAGGGAGCAAATGGCTGCAAACCCCTGATAATCAGTGCTGTGTCCTCATGGCAACCTCTGACCCCTTTCCCTCAGGTGCGAGTCTGGGTTTTTCCTGAAGGAACGAGAAACCACAACGGCTCCATGCTGCCCTTCAAACGTGGCGCCTTCCACCTTGCAGTCCAGGCCCAGGTGATCACTGCTGTCTGCTCCTCAGCATCCAGACCCCCCTCCCTCCTTCCCTCCCCTCCCTCCCTCCCTTCCTTCCTTCCCAGAAAGATGCACTCACGTCCCTGGCTTTGCCTCTTCTCCCCAGGTTCCCATTGTCCCCATAGTCATGTCCTCCTATCAAGACTTCTACTGCAAAAAGGAACGCCGCTTCACCTCGGGTAAGCTCGCCTGGCTTGAGGGCTCTGAGCAGGTCTGGGGAGGCCAGGGAATGTCCCTGAGGCGGGGGACCTTAAGTACCCACTGGGCATGCCAGGTAGGTAGAACCAGTCTCTCCAAGAGGGACCGTACAGTCTGGAAGGGAAGATGAAGCTGGCCTGTGCAGAGCTATACTGATAACAGCTCCGAACACTGTGACTGCACACTGGAATCCTGGAGAGAGGCCTGGACAGCGGCCTGGGGATTTTGTTAGCAGCTGGCGGGCAGAGCAACGGTCATCCTAGTTTGCAGGAGGAAGGTGGAGGAAAGGCATAGCGGGATGGCACTAGAGTTGCCCGAGACCCAGGAGTGCCAGCCATGATGCTGTTCCTCATTCCCTCCCCCAGGACGATGTCAGGTGCGGGTGCTGTCCCCAGTGCCCACAGAAGGGCTGACACCGGATGATGTCCCAGCTCTGGCGGACAGAGTCCGGCACTCCATGCTCACTGTCTTCCGGGAGATCTCCACTGATGGCCTGGGTGGCGGTGACTGTCTGAAAAAGCCTGGGGGAGCGGGCGAGGCCCGGCTCTGAGCTTCCTCCTACCCTTCCCCTCTTCCTCCCCACACCTCTGACCCAGAGCCTGAAGCAGGGCCAGGCCCTCTTCCTGGGTACCCACTCCCTACTCTCCTTTTTGAGTCTTCAACTTCTGAAGTGAATATGGATACAGCATCACTCCATGTCCTTCCCTACCCCACCCACGGACTCTCCTGCGTGGGCACAGTCTCCACTCCGATCCCCACCTGCCATCTTGTCTTGTGGGACAGTTGCCTCCCCTCATCTCAAGTGGCTCATCGGATACAAGGGTGGGGGACATTCCATCCCATCCTTCCCCAATGGTCTCTTTGTGGCCTTCTCTTCCTCTCCACCCCACACTGGACAATGGACTCATCTGTTCTGTGGAGCAATCCATTCCTCACGCCAAGTCCACAGACTGAGTGGGCCCATCTGCTCTGAGGACTCCTCACCCTGTGGCTGGAAGCTGCACCTGAGTACTCCCCAGCTCACCTAGGGAACTCCTCAACACTGTCACCCTCAGCGGGGCTGGGCTCTTCTAACTCGGAGGCCTCATCCCTGCCCATGCCAGGGGCTGAGCACACTTCAAATGCCAATTCTGCTTCCCCTGTCCCTTTGGTAGAGGTCTCCAGGGTCAGCCTGACCCAGCACCATCTAACCAAATTCCAGAGGGGCGGACCTTAGAAGCTGTGCTCTCTGCTCCCTGGGGCCTTAGGGGAAAGAACCTGACCCTGGTGAGAGGGAGAGGGGTCGAGGCACCTCCCCCTCGGAGCCAGTTTTCATTTCCTCCTGGTGGCTCTGGCCACTCCCCTGCCTCCCACTCTAGACCCATTCCTAAGACCCAGGAGGTAGGCTGGGGGCAGAAGGAACGAGTGGGATCCAGCTTTGTGTGGTTGGTTTTTATTATGGGGTAACAGCAAGCAACTGAGAATAAAGAGAAAGAGAGATCTGGGGGCTTTCTGTGACTTGTCGCGCCTCGGTGGTCAGGTGGTCGATCCCCGTCTACCAATCCCAGAAAGGCAGTTTCTGTATAAATTAGGGGTCCGGGCTGCTGCTGCTGCGGGAGTTACTTGTCAGCCGTGGAAGTTTGGGCCCAGGCTGTTGTCCTCACAAGCACCTGGTTAATGGCAGAGAGGCAACGTGGCTCTAGTCAGGTCACCCAACACTAAGCAAGTAACCCCGGGGAACGGGTCTGGGGTAACGACAGAGATGGAGGGTTTTGAGGTGAGGTGCTAAGTTGGCACTGTCTTTAGTTGTGGGGGAGCAGGGGGACTCACAGGCACCCAGCTTTTCCTCAAGCAGCAGCACCTGGTCACTGAGGGACTCGATCCTGTCACCCCGGCCCCACAGCTCAGCCACCTGTTCTGGCTGCAGCTCTTCGGGCGGCATGGGCAGCACTGCTCGGACCCAGGCCCCAGCCTGTGTGGCCCACTGCAAAGGAAAGTGGTACCTCAGGATTTTGGCAAGGTCCCGGGCGCATGCGCATCCCCCGTGCTTCTTCCCACTGCTCACCTGCTCCAGCCGCTCCAGGCGCGCCCGCAGCTCTGCGACCTCCCACCTCAGGTTTTGCTCCTCACGTTCCGCTTCCCGTACTAGGACAGAGGAGACTGTGAGCATGGCCTCGCCTACTACGAGGACCCAGGCTCACCCCACAGGCATCCCATACCCACCCTCCACACTGAGGATGCTGGCACTTGTTGAAGATTCCAGAGGCCCTGCTGCACAGGTGCGTCCATCCGAACCCAGAACCAGGGGGTGCGGACAGCCGCATGTGAAGCTGCCCAGGGTGTTCAAACAGCCATGAGAACAGAGGGTGAAGCTGGTCCTGCATTCATCGACGTCTAGTTACCAGAAAACAGAGGGGGCTGAAGGGGGCAGGGCACCACGATGGGTGGGGCGATCCCAGCACCCGCCCCCATTGTGGAGCAACCTGCCTGCTCACCCACGTGGCAGTGTTTCCCTCCCCAGCCTGGGGCACACTCGCACTGGTCCGGTCCAGTGCAGACACCTCCATTAAGACAAGGTTTGGAGCAGATGGCTGGGTGCATTTGAAAGGAAAGAGAGTTAAGACTGGGCTCAGTGCCAGGCCCCAGCACCACCCAGTGCCTCCCATGCAGGCCTCAAGCCCCAGCCTCACTCACCTTCACAGGTGAGAGCTCCTGGATGTGGCTTCTTCCAGCCCTGGCAGCACACCACGTGTGTCTGCTGAACCTCCCGCCTCACCTCCCGCCAGGCCACGCGGTAAGTGGTCCTAGAACATAGAACCGGGTCAGGATTCCGGGTACCCATCCTGGGCTTGGTTCTGGGGGAGTGCTCCGGCATCTCCTCTCACCTGTAGGTGCTGCATACGCGCCTGCCAGCACACAGGGTCAGGTAGGGCTTATATACCGGTTGACTGTAGGACTCGTTGTATCGGAGTGGAACCACCAAGGTCTGGTTGGAGCAGACCCCCACACTGCAGCCATGCCAGGGTGGAGGTGGGAGGCACTGAGTGTGGCGGCCCTCAGCAGCTGCTGAGGCCAGGTGCCCTCATTCTAAATGTTCAGTTTTGTTTTGCGTCCTGCCAAGTCTGCGCCCCCCCCCCCCCAGTGTCCTCACCATGGCCCTCCCCCTTTGCTGTCACCTTTGTTTGAAAGCTCCTCCTTTGCGCCCCTCGCCTGACATCAGTAGCAGGAGGAACAAGAGTCCAATCTGGAAACCGCCCAGCTCAGCCCTGAGCCCCATGGTTCTTCCAGACTCTGTGGGCTGCAGACAAGCAGTTACAGGCTTCTCTCTGGCTGGTCTAGCCTCAGCCCTCCTTCACTCTTCTAAACGAGCACTCACATGGTCTGCAACAGCCTGTGCATTTCCTCGGACATGTCCTGCCGTCAGCCAGGCTCTCCTTAGCCCCGAGCACATGGCCAGCCTTCCCACACAGCCCTTCTCAGTGTGCTTCCAAACTGTAGAGAGCCTACACCTTCCACACAAACCCAAGCATGTCACACAGCTCTACCTCCATTCCTCTCCCACACCATCTCATATCCACCAGACACACTCCTCACTCAGGAGCCTCCTTCCCAGCTCCTACCCATCCTAAGGCCAAGCAATCCCAATCCCGTCCTCCACTAACTTCCCTGGCTCCCTACCTGTTTCCCTGTCCAAGGAGTCTGCAGCCCCTAGCAGCAGCCGCCCAGACTGGTGGGTGGGCCTCTTCAGCTTGGAAAAGGCGAGGGGGGCGGGCCCAGACAGCGCTCTCCCACTCCTGCTCCTTCCCACAAGGCTCTCAGTCTCAGGCCGTCCTGCCTCCCTCACACTCTCTTCAGCCAAGAGCTGCTTAGAAGGACCTACATAACCTTTGAAGGCCCCCAAATCAGGAGTTTCTGGCTCTAGTGCCAACCAGCACCCACGCCCCTTCGACCTAACACAGACTGTGAGGGGATGTGAGGACCGGGGAGACGGCAGAGCTGAGCAAGGGCAGGTCATGGCCTAGCTCAAGATCAGCTGAGGAAAGAAAGCCGTCACAGAAGGGCAGGGGCGCCCAAGGCACCAGGGGAAACTGCCTCCATCCCTTGATGGCATTTACTGGGGGCTGGGGGACACCACCCCCAAGCCAGAACAGACAGGGCTCTATTGTCCCAGTGTTAATTCCTCCCCCCAGGCAAAGGGAGACTCACTGTACAGCCCCTCACCCAGCCCTGACCGACAAAGGTCAAGGGGCATGACCTTCAGCCCCCTCGGCTAGTCCGGGGGTGGCAGACCAATTCTACCCATGCGGCTGAGGCTCGGCCCCCTAACCCTAGGCCGGGACAGGAAGAGAATTGTCTTCAGCAGGAAAGAACACACAGAGAGTCAGGAACCTAAACAGAATGGGCATTGAGAGGACGGAAACACCAAGGGAGTCCCCACCCCACAGCAGGCATCTGGGCACCCAGGCCCCAGGCTTTCCATCCCTACCCTCTTAGGGGAGCCCAGGTCCCCTGCACCTGGGAATAAGCCAAGCCACACTGAGGAAAGGGAACTTTATTTTTATAAATACAGGGAACACCCACTCAAGGGTCGTTAAAAGAGGGGCTGGGGCCTCAAAGAACCTAGGCTCCCAGGGGATACCCCAACACTGATCATAGGGACTGGGGGATCCCCAAACCTGAGATGGGCCTTGCAGGCCACAGATATTCCCCAACACTGACACTTCAAAAGTGAACTGTCCCCATAGGGGAACCTCAGAACCCTTCACAGGCGTCCCTCTTGGTGGGGAGGCTGGCGACAGGGAAGTTGAGAAAAGGGGGACACTAAACAGAAGCTAAAAATGTCCTGAGTGGCCTGGAAGGGCCCCTGTGGTGGGCAGGGGCTGGGTTCTCCTCCGGTACAGCCAGACCCGGAGGAGCAGCAGCCGCGGTGAAGCCAGTTAGAAACCTGGTGCTCGCTTCCCAACCTCAGCCGTGGGAGAAAGGGAGAGTATGGAGACATCCCCAGATGAGGACATGAGGTAGGGGACCAGGACTTGTCATTCACAGAGGAGCGGAGGGGAGGATTCAGGGAGCCCTGGTGGGGCGGGGCAGTGTGGGAGCCATGAGGTGGTCACAGGCATGCCAGTGCCTGGCATCTGTTTCCCAAGGCCACCACTTGGTCTCTGGGCTGGGGGATTCCTGAGGGCATCTTCAGGAGAGCCATGGTTCGATGCAAGTATCATAGAGCGTGCGGTTGGAGTGCCAGGTGGTATGAGAGATGCCAGCCATCGGACACCTCACTATGGCCCCCCGGGCCAAGAGAGTCTTCAACCCAAAGGAGTCTCGCAAATAAACCTTCAAGGTGGGTGGAGGGGCGTGGAGACACAGGAAAAAGATAAAGTGAGGTACTGCTGCTGCCCAAATCACCCCCGACCCCCACCATGCCCGCTGCCCAGGCCCTATGAGGCAGACCCTTCAACTCGGGTCAGAGGCAGAAACCCAATAGAGGGAGAAAGAAAGTTGTTCCAAGGGGCTTACCGGCTGCTCCTCCATCTCCAAGACCGTCTCGTTGGCGTCATAGAAACCAAAGAAGCTACAGAAAGATTTGCAGGGAGACTATCAGGAGAGCTAGGAAAACCAATGTGTGCTAGTGTCCCATAGAGACTTAAGGCCCCCTAGAGGACACTTGGAATCTGACAGAAGCTGGGCACAGGGACACACTTAGAGGCGGGAGTATGGAGTGTTCAAGGCCAAAGGGGGCTGTGTAAAAACTGTCTCAACAAAAAACCAAGAACAATTCCTGACTTAAAGAATTTAAGTGCTGGAGAGCTAGCTCAGTCGTTAAGAACACTGGCTGCTTTTACAGAGGACTCAGGTTCAATTCCCAGCATCCATACAGAGTTTCACAACCATTTGTAACTGCAGTTTCAGGCAATCAATGCCATCTTATGGCCGCCCTGGACATCAGGCAGACCATTCATATACATACTTCTTCTTTCAGTGTTAAAAAAAAATTAAGTTTGGGGGCTGGAGAGATGGCTCAGCATTTTGGTCCTCCGAGGGCACGTGCACTCATGCGTGCACACCCGCATGTAGACACACCCACGTGTGATTCGAGCATGTCTGCAGTCAAAGCACTCGAGAGGCAGGAGGCTCTCAGTGAGCTCAAGGCTCACCTGGTCTACAGAGTGAGTTCCAGGACAGCCAGGGCTATGTAGCGAGACCCTGTCTCAAAAACCAAACAACTGAAACACGGAACAACATGCCTAGCACACGGAACAACACGCCTAGCACTGATACTAGATTCAACACTCGCTGCTGCAAAGAAGCCAGCCGGTCGTTTGTGCAGGGTCTCACTGTGAACCCTACACTGACCCTGATCCTCCGGCCTCTTCCTCCTCCTGAGTGCAGGGAGGATAGGCACGTGGTAGGGTGTTTAGCTGAATTCTTTAATCTTTACTTGATTTGTTTGTTTTGAGGCAGCTTCTCATTATGTAGCTTTGGCTTCTGGCTCCAGGTGCGCAGCCAGCCATGCCCAGCTAAAATCTAACTGACCGTGTGTGCATGCCATGAGATGATGTGGCGGTCAGAGGCCAGCTCTGTGGGTTCAGTCTACCCACTTTTTAACTCCCACTGTTTTGATCCAGAGATCAAGTGGCCAGACATCTTTACAGACTCAGCCAACTTTTTTTTTTAATTAATATCGCCAGATGCAGTGGTGTACACATTAATTCCAGCACTCAGGAGGCAGCGGCTGGAGGAGCTCTGTGAGTTCCAGGACAGCTGGGGTGACACAGTAAGACCCTCTCAAAACAGAAAGAAAAAAAAAAGCATGTAGACCTCCTGTCAATACCTGGACAAGTGCCAGCTGTTAAAAGGTTCAGGAGTCGGGGCTGGAGAGGTGACCCAGTGGTTAAGAGCACTGGCTGCTCCTCCAGACGACCCAGGTTCAATTCCCTCACACGGCACTCACACGGCAGCTCACAACTGCCTGTAACTCCAGTTCCAGGAGCTCCAACACCTTCACACATATACACATGCAAGCAAAACACTATGCACATAAAATAAAAATAAATTAAGTCCAGGAGTTGTGTGGTGGCAAATGCCTATAGTCCCAGCACTCAGAAGGCAGAACAGGTGGATCTCTGAGAGTTCAAGGCCAGCCTGGTCTACAAAGCGAGATCCAGAACTATAACCTTGTTTCAAAAACCAAAACAGCCCAACAGTCTGTGGGAATAAGAAAGAAGGCTAGTTATGAGGCCTGGGCAGGGAGGGATGTCCTAGGCAAAGCGGACAAGGAAGATACAACTGGGTGGGTACAGGAGAGCTGGGCTGGAGGGAGGAAAGAAGTCGGAACCCCAGACTTGTGTCTATCAGATCTCATTATATTTTGTGGAAATGCCCCCTCACAGAAGGGAAGGAAAACCTAGCGGACAGCCCATTCTCACTGATCACTAATGCTGCAAGTGTAGGCAAGCCCTGAGTTCCTGCCCCCACGTGTCCTAATACAGATCACCCCAAGTAGGTTGTTGCAAGGATAGAGTGAGCTAGTAGAAGGGGAGGAGCTAAAGAGAGGTTTGTCAGTTAAGAGCATGGCATGCTCTCTCAGGACACAAGTTCAGTTCCCACACCCACATTGGTGGTGGGGGATGGGAGCAGTGGTCACAGCTGCCTGTAACCCCTCTTCTGGCCTCCACAGGTACCTGAACTCACATACCTACACCCTCACACATGACTTCAAATAGGGATGTGATGGCTTGGAAGGCAGAGGTGCCTAGTGCCAAGTCTGACTAGCTGAGATCGATCCCCAGTCCCATACAATGGGAGACGTCCAAGCCCTGCAGGCTGTCCTCAGATCCCCAAGTATGTGCAGTGGTACGTGTGCACGCTCACTAAGTATGTGACTAAACTGAAAATAATAAATCCTTTAAAAAAGCTGGGGGGCTAAAACAGTGCTTTGGGACATGCCATATGAGATATAACCATGAGCTATTACAATTATGGGTTATTAATATGAAATGACATTATGTACATAAAAGACACTCCTAGTCTTGTACTGTTTTTATTTTGGATGGTGCCACCTCTTCCTTAACCCTCCCAACATCCTACTGTCTCACTTAGAATTATTATTATTTTTGACAGGGTCTACACAACCTTGGCTTGGCTGTCCTAGAACTCATTATGTAGACCAAGTTGACCTTGAACTCTGAGCTCCACCTGCTTCTGCCTCCCTCCTGTTGGCATTAGACAGTGTACCACCTGATTTATCTTTATATATGTGTCTGGGTGTTTTGCCTTCATATCCGTATGAGCACAAGCATCCGGTGCCTTGAGGAGGCCGGAAGGCAATGGCAGATCCCTAGGATGAGAGTTACGAACAGGGGTGGGCTGCCATGTGGAGAGTGGGGACCAAACCCGGGTCCTCGAGAACAGACAGCGCTCTTAACCACTGAGCCATCTCTCCAGCCTCTGCATTTTTTAAAAAGCAAGCACACTGGCTGCCAGGGATTGGGAGACTGGAGTGTCTAGCAGGTTATGGAACTTCAGTTTAGTGGGCAAAGTTCTCAAGAGGGATGAAGGTGATGGCTGCGTGAGTGTTACTGTATCCCAACGCCACAAACTAGACACTTAAGAACTGTAATTTCTAGGGCTAGAGAGATGGCTGGGGCGGGGGCGGGGGTGTTAAGAGCACTGGCTGCTCTTCCAGAGGACCCGGGTTCAATTCCCAGCACCCGTGTGGCAGCTCACAACTGTAACTACAGTTCCAGGGGATCCAACACCCTCACACAGACATAAATGCAGACAAAACACCAACGCACATAAAACTAAATAAAATCTCTAAAAAAAAATACTAATTTCTAAGATTGGGTACGCAATTGAGTTGGTAGAGTGACTGCCTAGCATGCATGAAGTCCTGCATTCGATCCCCAGCACTGCACCAACTTCTCGCGGTAACTAATGTCTGTGCCTTTGGCTATGCAGCAAATCTGAGCCCAGCCTGGAACACGTGACACTATCTCAAACCAAACTATCCACCTATCTGTGAAACAATAAATAACTTCTGCCTACCTATCCACCTGTCTGCTGTCTTTCTTTCCTCCTGGTGCTGAGAAGGAACCCAAGGAGCCAGGTGAGGTGGTACACGCCTTTAATCCCAGCACTCAAGTGCCCCAGGTAAACTCTGGAATCGCATGCGTGCACACACACAGGACCTTGATAAACCATCTCTGCAACCTCATAAGAATCTGTGATTACTTCAGAATTATATGTGTATGAATGCTCGTGTGTGGTTTTTGAAATAGGGTCTCAGTAGCCCAGGCTGTCCTCAAATTCACGATGTAGTACCCTGAACTTCTCATCCTCCTCCTCTACCCCGAGTGATGGGATGGACCCTGGGCACACTAGGCAAGCACCGTGCCAGCTGAGGCACATCTCCAGCTGCCAGAATCAACAGACTTTTTATACAAGCTTTCTGCTTGTCAGTGGCGGTGGTGGTGTTTTTTGACACAGGGTCTCAAACAAACAGCCCTGGATGGCCTGAAACAGAGACCCACCTGCTTCTGCCTCCTGAGTCCCAGGGTTAACTCTCTCGGGTTTGTTTGCGTCTGGTGAAATAATCTCATTATCTTGCCCAAGCTCATCCTGAACTCTCGGGCTCAAGTGATCTTCTTGCCTCAGGCTCAAACATGTTCTACAAGGGTCAAGTATGCAGAACACTTGCCTAGCGTGTGTAAGTCCCTGGATCTGGTCCCCAGCACTCCCAGAATGGAAGAGGGAGATGCGGATGTGGTAATAATGCCTGTCACTCATGAAGCAAAGGCAAGAGGTCAAGCCTGGGCTACACACCGGGCCCCTGTCTCTCATGAACATCTACTGTATGCCAGGGGCACTACCAGGCCAGGTCTTCAGCCTCTACAATCCTTTGTTACCTAGACTGCCAAGGGGTGATGACTCCATCGTCAGGACCCCCAATCAGCACCAGGCGGCCCACGCGGAGAAAGTTCTTCCGCCACGCTGTAGAGAAGGGGAGAGATGGGGTCAGCCACAAGACTCAAGCCAGGGTAGAAGCGGAAGAGGGACAGAGGTGGGAGCTGGGCCTTACCAGTGGCATTGGGATGGTCTCTTTCCCCGTTGATGAGGGCCAGGAAGCTACTGGCATTGAGGTACAGGTCGTCGTGGTGAGGATCTGAGTACAAACAGCAGTTAGGGAGACAGCCAGGAGCCTGAGGTCCTGGGATTGGACCCCACGGACTGCATAAGTGGGCATGGGCGGCCCACACCTGTAATACTGGCACTCAGGGTGTCCCATCAGGAGGATCAGTTCAAAGCCGTCCTTGGCTACACAGAGTCAATGGGGCTGCGGGAATGGCTCAGCGGGTGAGAGCACTGGCTACTCTTCCAAGACTCTGGTTCAATTCCCAGCACCCACATGGTGGCTCACAACTGTCTGGAACTCCAGTCCCAGGGGACGCAATGCTATCTTCTGGCCTCCACAGGCAATGGGCATGTATGTGGTGCACATATATGCAAAAAAACCTTATATACATAAAATTTAAAAACTTAAAAAAAAAAAAAGAAAGAAAGTGTAATGAGAGAAGACTTGGTGGCCAGTCAGGAGACTGTAGTAACAGTGAAGATCAGCACTGGAGCAATGGCTCAGTAGTTAAGAGCACTCACTGCTCTTCCGAAGGTCCTGAGTTCAATCCCCAGCACCCACAGGGCAGCTCACAGTTGTCTGGTGCCATTTTCTGGTATGCAGATGTACAAGCAAAGTATACACATAAAATACATACAAAAATCTAAAGTGAAGCCAGACATCCAGCCACACGACAGGAGGCTAAAAACAGCAGTCAGCACGATCAAAGGCACTTTCTGAGGTTTTCTGTTGTTTGGTTTGTTTGTTGAGACAGGGTCTATTTAGTCTTGGCTGTCCTGGAACTCCCATATAATTCAGGCTGGTTTCAAACTCAAGAAATCCTCTTGCCTCTCCCTCCTAAGTACTGGGATTAAATGTGCATACCAGCACTCCTGGCCTGGAAGGTACTTTTATCTGGCACCCTGTGTGAGCCAGTGATTGTTAAAAGTGTTTTACTCCCAGTAATTTGATGATTACAATCACCTCACAAGGTACATGCTACATTACTTTGTAGAAATCTCAGAAATCAGAATCTCAGGAAGCTAAGTAAAACACCCAAGGTTACCCAACAAAGTCAGGCTTCAACCCCTGATCTGGCCCCAGCATCCAGGCACACTACCCTGCACTAGAGGTTGGCCCCTAAAGGACCAAACCCAGCCTGCTGCTTGTTACTGTAACTAAAGCCACTCACGCACTCATGTGGCCTATGTCCACATTGCAGCAGCTGAATAATGGTGCAGACAGAGAGAATGGACTCCTGAAAGTTGTCCTCTGACCTCCATGTATATGTTATGGTTCACGAATGAGCACATGTGCACACACACACACACACAGAGAGAGAGAGAGAGAGAGAGAGAGAGAGGAGAGAAAGAGTAATAATAATGATGATCCATTAATTTTTTTTTAAATTTTGCACCAGACCACACACTCTGAGGAACCTGCGTGGCTTGCCAACGACATTCTGAATAGCACCTATTTGATTAGCAAGTGTGCATAAACAGAAACCACTGCTTTGGTTGCGGAAGAGGTGGGCGCGGGCTGTCCACAGTGCCGTGTCCACGTGGGCCCCAGCACAGCAGCCCGGTCCCCCCACCCTCCTTCCGCGCTTACCATGCCAGTAGTTGCAGATGGAAAACTCCTGGCCCCAAGGACTATAGCAGATCCGATAAAGGTTAGACCGCATGGACGTCGGGAAGAGCCACTTCAAGTAGTCCGTGTCTGAGAAAAAAGAAAGGCAGCGCCAAGTAGCCTCAACCCTCTGTGCCCCGGACATGGCGCCTCTGTGCAACCCACAGTGCCCACTCACCTCCATACTGTCCCATCTGTGGAGAGGACAGCGAGATGAAAGAATCCACGTTGTGCTCATCCATGACAGACAGCAACGCCCGGCACACCAGGCCCCCTGGAGGCAGAGCGCCAACATTGGACCGGGCACTGCAGTGACCCTTGCCTCCGGTCTCTCAAAACTTAAAAGAATGGGATCCAAGACTGAAGACACACCCTATGCCAACAAGTCCCGGGCCACGTGACAGAGCCAAGCTAAGAGTCTAGGCCTCTGATCCTTAACTCTAAGCCATGGAAAAATAAGGGCAGAGGGAAGCCTCCCTCCCATTCAGGACCCATAGGAGGAAGACGGGTGCTGAGGGAAGCCAGAAAACGGGGGTGGAGGGGGGCTCTTGTACTAGGCCTCTGACCAGAGCTATGCAGCGCAGAGAAGCAACCGCTGTAAAACACCTTTAGGGTCAAGTTCCTACAGGGCTTGGGAGTTAGGAGTGTGTTTGCCTACCCTGGGAGTAGCAGATGAGATGCACCCCTTCAGGGGCCTTTTCCATGATGGGGCCAACAGCCTCTTGGAACCCTTGCACCTGCTCCCACAAGGGCCGCAAGCTCTCTCTGCCATCGAAGAGATCAAGCACTGTCACCACAGTCCCGGGGTGTGTCTGTGGGAAGGGGGCAATGCAGCCACTGGGGTTGGACTATGAAGGCCACGTGCATTCAATGTGCTTGCTGGAACCAGGAACCCCCGTCCCCCAAGTCTCCCCCACGCTGGTAGCCATACTTTGAGGAACTGGCCTAGAGGGGTTATCTTTCAGTTGTCCATGCTTCCTCCCCAGCCATTATAGTTGCTCCAACACCCTCCACCCGGCGTCCCGTGACAGACCTCATTGATGTAGTCCAGCAGGTGGCGGAAGCTGTATGAACTGTCAAAGAGCCCGTGCACCACGATCACTGGCTTGTAGGACCCGCGGTGGGGTGCGGGGGCTGCGGGCATCAGCAGCCGCAGGAATGGCAGGAGGAGCAAAGCCCACGCCGAAGGAAGCCTCTGCCTCCATAGCCCCGGCATGCTCCTACCTGAGAAGGAACAAGGGGCTGTAAGGGAAGTGACCCCCACCTCTCGGCTTCCAATAGACTCCCAGCGAGCAACCCTCCGGCCTCCGCTCCTATACCAGGTCCTTGCCACAACAGCCTACTTTTTACTTACTCCAGTTGGCTCGGCACAAACACACCCCCTACCACCTCGCTGCACTAATGCTCACCCTAAGTCCCGCCCCCAACTTGGCGCTCATGGGACTTGGTCCCAAGGCCCAGGATCTTCCGTAAGCATCACCTCGGCCATGCACAACTCCGGGTTCTGCAAGGGCCCCGGAGCAACAGCCCAGGCCCCACGGAGCGTGGGAACCCCCACCTGGCCTGGGTCTGGAGGCTTCGCTCCGCCAGCTGTTTACTTGTACCCAGTCTGCAATCCACCGGGTAGGAGGGAAAGGGGGACCAGGAGAGCGCGCAGGGGGATGACGGATGGGAAGGGGGGTGCTCGGGGTCGCGCAAAGCCGTCACGTCCGGGGCTTTCCCTGACAACAGAGAGAGCGTCCCCTTCATCGCGGACAGCGGACCGGAGGGGCAATGGAATATTCCACTGCACCCAGAGAGATGGGGAGGAAGCAGGCGGCGGAGCGATCCATTCAACCGGAAGGGGAGACGCAATAGCAAAGATAATCTTGGGTATATAAAAAAGGCTTTCCTAGGGTCGGCTGCATTCAGCCACCCAGGGGTTCGACTTCCCCTTCTTGATGCGCCCCACTTTCCAACCCAAGGGTCTCTGGCTTTGCAGCGGAGCCCGAATTTCTGTTCCCAAGGTGGGGGGTGGGGGTAGGACGGACTAAAGGCTAATCCAGCGTCTAGCTGGACGCCAGGCGAGTGGCAGGCCAGCGTGCCAGGCCGACCCAAGCCGGAGCGCCCCTCTTCCCGCTTCTGCCTGCCGTCCCGCTCCCGATCAGCGCCTTACAACTCTTCACTTTGAAGTGCGTGTTGTGACCTTGTCTCCAGAGACGCCGAGAGTCCTTCAGGCCCCTCGAGTGAAGTGCAGCCTGGCCCAGTTTCTCTGGCCCTACTTTTATCTCTGCGTTCACGACCAACCCTTCATGACCCACCTTCCATGGGCGTAGGGCCCCGGGGGCTGCAGGGACTCACCATCGGATTTCCACCAGTCTTTGAGCCCTGAGCGATCCCAACAATCTGCTCCTCAGATCCCAGCCGGCAGCTAGCGACACAGACCCTGCTACTGCAGCCAGACTTCTGCGCTGCGGGTGCTGGCACCACTCAGCCTAGCCGTGACCCTTGCGCGCGCCGGAGTGCTCCTGGCTGGCCTTTACCCGTCAGGGCATTTACTTAGCAATTAAATAAGGCACCAGGATTTCTGAACATGCCTGAGCCGCTCAACCCGTATGCAGGATCTTTTGCTCAGTCTAAACTCGACTCTCAATAAAACCAGACGCGTGTAGTGAAGCTGGTGTGGGAGGAATAGATCCGGGGTTCTCTCTGATACATCCACGCTTGAAAAACCAGAATCACCGGTATGAGACCGTGATGCAAAAATTTCTCAGACCTGGGACTGGCTCAAGCCGGGGCCTGGGACTGCCCTCCAGGACACCACCGGAGGGGCCGTGTCCTAGGGCGACTGCCTCAGGTGAGGGCTGGGAAATTTTAAAATGGGAGGGCATTTCTGATTCTCCTGCTGGGTTTCTGCAAAAGGCCCAACTGGTATAATCTCTGTAGACTGCCTATCCTCACCCCACCTCCCCACCCACGCCCTTCCAAGACACAAAAAGCAAATAAAAAGACTGTAAGTCACCCCTGCGTCTCGGGTTGACTCCGGGGGTGGATCAGCGTCTTGGGGCGGGAGGAGTGGAGGACAGGGGGTGCTGCAGGGTACAGATATGAATGCTGGCGGGTCAAGAACTCTAGAGCCTCCACAAGCAGGCTTTTTCAAACCTGCCCGTCACAAATAAGCAATTACATTTTGCTTCCCTCTGCTAAAGCATTTCAGCTCCTTAACCCTGGAGGAAGAAGGTGCCGGTGTTCTCCCACAGGTGCTTTCTCTCAGCCAGCTTCAAATATAGGCCCGAGCTTCCTGCCTCCGTGAGGCAAGGGCAGGCCCAGGCTGTATACCTGGGGGACTTTTAGGCTTTCTTGGTTCCCAGCTTTGAACAATTTTCGCTCACACCTGATTCTGTCTCTAACTGGAGAAGCCTCGAGCTATCTTGCAGGAGTTCTGAGGGGAACTGAGGAAAGAACCCCTTGGGTGAGCCAGGTTCGGGTGAACGGGGTCTGGAGGTGAGTGGGTGAATCCATTGAACTGGCTTCCCACAATGTAATCACTACAGCGAGTCTTTGAGAGACTCGAGAGAGTTCTCTCTCCCTTCCTTCATTCTCTTAGTCCCACCCGCCTCGCCTGGTCTTGCCTCCCGGTTTCCATGACAACTCCAAGGGAGCCTAAACTGGGGGCTTGAATGCCAGGGTGAGAGGAGGAAAGAGGTGGTCCAAGTGCAGAGCGAGAACGAGTGTGTGTTGGGGGGGCGACTTCTGAAGCTCTCCCCTTCCCTGGCCTCGGTCCCTTTAAGCTCCCCCCCCCTTGCCACTCTCCTTCTGCCACTCTCCGTCTGCCCGCCCCCCCCCCTCCGACACTGTCTTCATCTCTCCATCTCTGCGCTGCCGCCGCCGCTGCCGCTGCTGCCGGCTGCGCCATCCCGGACCCAGACTTCTGCACCGGCCAGGGGGCCCTGACTCCAGCTTCAGAGACCCTGTTCCAGCTACTGCAAACATGTCATCGGAAAAGTCAGGTAAAAAAAGATTCCAATAGCCCCCACAGCTCCTCCATTCTCTCCTGTCTCACCCCCACTTGCCCTAACCCCCTTCTTTGACCCTCTCTGGGGTGCCTTGCGGCTCAGTCCCATTCCACTTCCCAGCACTCAGACCCCCACGCCCTCCTCTTCCTGCATCCTTCTCTTCCTTTCTTTGGGTCAGTCTGCATTTGCCATGTCAACAACACGAGGGGGGGCAGGTTGAGAAGGAGAGGAAGGCACAGCCAGGTACTGCAGGGACATCATCCCTGGGAGAGACAGATGGCATGGAGACACCCAGTGGAGAAATATCAGTGACTTGATCAGATGGGGGTTGCCAGGGAAGTAAAATTTAACAGACTTTTTTTTTTTTGAGATAAGATTTTCCTACTTAGCCCAGGCTGGCCTTGAACTCCCTAGTTCCTCGTCCTCCTGCCTCTGCCTCACAAGTACTAGAATTACAGGCATGAGCCACCATGGCTAGTCCCAGGAGACGTTTTTATGGACCCTAACGGAGGTCAGGAGATTCCCAGGTAACCCCTGGCCCAGAGGAAATGTCATCTACATGAAAACTGTTAAAGCGAGAGCATGCAGTTGAGAGGGGACAGCTGAGGGTGACGGGAGGGGAGGCTGGAGGAGAGTTGTGACAGTTGTGACGGCAAAACTAGATTGGAGGGCAGGTGGCCTAGATACACCCGCTTCCCTGACCCCAGACTGGGAGCCGCCATCCCACCTGTCTCTCCCTGGCTATTTCTCCGTCTCTGACTGCCTTGTTTCTTACCCTTTTGATCTCTGCTGTCTTCTCTCTCCCCTTATCCTCTCCTCCACTGCTTTCTGTGGCCAGGCCTTCCAGACTCAGTTCCCCACACTTCTCCGCCGCCCTACAATGCCCCCCCACCCCCGGCCGACCCCCGGCCCCCTCCTCGCACCATCACCACCATCACCACTACCACCAGTCTGGCACTGCCACCCTCCCGCGCTTAGGGGCAGGTGGGCTGGCCTCTGCCTCCGCTAGCGCTCAGCGTGGTCCTTCGTCCTCCGCCACGCTACCGCGGCCCCCCCACCATGCCCCACCCGGTCCCGGCGCTGGGGCTCCTCCACCCGGCTGTGCTACCTTACCCCGCATGCCACCCGACCCTTATCTACAGGAGACTCGCTTCGAGGGCCCACTTCCCCCACCGCCGCCGGCGGCCGCCGCCCCGCCCCCACCAGCACCAGCCCCGACGGCCCAAGCCCCGGGCTTTGTGGTGCCCACGCACACGGGGGCGGTGGGCACACTGCCGCTGGGGGGCTACGTGGCGCCCGGCTACCCGCTGCAACTGCAGCCCTGCACTGCCTATGTTCCGGTGTATCCGGTGGGCACGGTGAGTGTGGGGCTGAAGGGACCTAGGAGGGAGGCAGGTGCAACAGGGACACACGGGAAGCTGGGAGAGAGCGAAATAGAACCGGAGCGAGCGGTGTTCTGGTAATAAACCCCAGACAGAAGAGTGGAGAGGGAAGGGATTGCGGGTGGGAAGGTGGTGGACCTGGTGAGGGGCTATCTTTAGGGGTCAGAGGTCAAGGTTTGGGAGGTGGTTCAAAACTCAGGACGCAAACTGCTTGGAGGGAGAGAAAGAAATGGGACCTGGGAAGCCAGGGGTAGAAGAGGGCAAAGTCTGAGCCTGGGGATGCCAAGGAGCATGCAAACAAGACCTGAAGCGCAGACAGACCTTGTAAGACACTGTGGGAACTTGCACGACTATGGGGCTTAATAACACAAAGAGGGGAAGCCTAGGCCGATTTTACTATCAGGGAGGATGGGGTGTTAATCCCCCCCCCAAAAAACCTTAGAGTCGGGTTTGTAGAAACCACTCTGCCAGCTGGCCAACCGCTGGCAAGCAGCAAGAGTGTAGGCGTGACATCCCTCTCCCCCACTGTCCTTCCCACAGCCCTACGCAGGCGGGACCCCTGGGGGGCCGGGAGTGACCTCCACTCTGCCCCCGCCGCCCCAGGGCCCAGGACTGGCTCTGTTGGAGCCCAGGCGCCCGCCACACGACTACATGCCCATCGCTGTGTTGACCACCATCTGCTGCTTCTGGCCTACAGGCATCATCGCCATCTTCAAGGCCGTGCAGGTGTGTGGCGGGGGAGGCGATAAAAGGCTCGGGCTGACCCGGGCTTCCTTAGTCCAGGGCATTCTGGACATATTATCCTAGTGGGAGGCTGCGACGGGTGAGCAGTGGCTCTCTGACCCCCCCTTCCCGCGTCCCTCCCCGGTAGGTGCGCACGGCCTTGGCCCGCGGAGACATGGTGTCCGCCGAGATCGCTTCACGCGAGGCCCGGAACTTCTCATTCATCTCCCTGGCCGTGGGCATCGCAGCCATGGTGCTCTGTACTATCCTCACTGTCGTCATCATCATCGCCGCCCAGCACCACGAAAACTATTGGGATCCCTAAAACCACCCCCATGTCGGCCCTACTCCGTGCCCCCCAACCTCCCAGGCGCGTCGTGCAATCCTGCCGCCTACCCAACGCGCGCCCTGCACATCCTCCTGTGGCGCCGCTGGACTTCCAGACATCATAAACTCCGCCCCCATGGAACCTCCGGCCCAGCGACTACGCTCCGAATCCAGTTCCTCAGGAACCTCTCCAAAACCCACATCCCTAGCGACACTGGAATCCGTGCCAAACCCCGAGCCCCCCAAATTCCCCACCCCATTAAGTGCAATGCGGGGGCGGAGCTCCCCTAGTCTCGGATCCTCAAAAGGGGGTCAGGTCCTGGAAGCTCCGCCTCCTCTATAGGCCCCGCCCCAACTCCCACAAACCCCGCCTCCAGGTTGGCAGGCTCCGCCTTCTTCCTTGCTGGGTAGTTCAGTAGCTTGGGCTTGTGAATTCAGGCCCAGCCCACAGACCGACGCACTCTTTCCCCGGCCCCCCCCCCCCCCCGAAAAGGGCTCAGCCCTGGGAGAACTACAACCCTACTCTGGCTCGGATCTTTGCCAGTGCGAATTTTTCCCTTCTCCATCCGGGTCTCTCTGCCTATTTTCTTGCTAATTTCAGAACTCCCGTTTTGTTGCTTTCGGAGTGAGATGTGGGAAGTTTCCGGTTTAGTACCCCTCACCCTGGAAAAAGAACCACCAAGTCCCTGCAGTGTAAATACTCTTTCTATCTGTGCCAACCCCTGGGCAGCGGGGCAGAAGGGTTAAGGGAGGGAGCCTGTGCTCCCCGCTCCCCGCAGCCCTAGACTTGTTTTGATCTGTGTGTGCGTGTGTGTGAACTTCCGAAAGACGGTATTAAAGACATTTTAGTGGATTTATCACCCGCAGTTCCAAAGACCACAGTTCGGAGAACACCTTGGCCCTTGGCGTTCTGTTCCCTTTTCACTTTTCATCTTGGTTTTTATTTTTCCACTCCGCGGGGCGGGAAGGGATGCTGACCCACCCGCACAAGAGAAAAGCAGGAGGAGATAATTTTCCATGAAGGGAGAGAAAAGAGGGTCCCCCTAGCCAGGCTTGTTGTAGGTCTATAGACCTAACATCTGGGGGGAAGAGTCAAGAGTTCAAAGTCACATTCTATATAGCACGTTAGAGGTCATTCTGGGCTGGACTAAACTCTATCTCAAGAAAGAGCGAAGGAGCCAGAGGAAGACCTGGAGTGTCTTTCTCCCAGGCTTCCCAGCCCTGCGTTCCCATTCCCTTCTAGATTGGGTTTAGGGCTTGGGGGAAGGGAGACTTCCAGAAGGCAAGAAGGAAGAAGATGGCAGACCACAGTGAGGCTGGTCAAGGCTGGGGTAACAGGAGCAGGGGAAAGAGCATCACTTGCCCACAGTGTTCCTGGCCTGGGGCTGGACAACTCGCACCAGAGTCCTGCAGGAAGGCAAGCTCAGACAAGGAGCAGAGACCTGTGGGAATCCTGGGAAAAGGGCTAACAGAGCGTCTACACTTGGGCTCATTGCCTTAGCTAATCCTAAGCCTGTAGTGATGCCTCTGTGAGAGGGGATGAGGACCAAGCGGAGCGCGTGTCTGGCTTCACTGCACATATGTAAAACAAGGTGTGTCCCAGCTGCTCATTCATGAGGCATGGAGGTGACACACAGGACGGCTGGTGAGATATGCTCAGACCAGACTGTGACCCTGAATCCAGGCAGAAAACCTTGCACTTGGGGGAAGGGGGGGGTGCGCTGAAGCCGAGGGAAGGGAGGCATAGGTATCACTGGTTCCCCTTGGGACATTTCAGGTCTAATGCCTTTCCTAGTGATAGTTCTTTTTCTTAAAGATTTATTTTTATATATGTGTGTATTACACGTGTGCTTGTGTGTGATACAAGCATGTGTGCCAATGCCCACAAACACCCTCTGATACACTGTAGCTGGAGTTGCAGGTGGTCATGAATCACACCTACTGTGGGTGCTGGGACCTGAACCCAGGTCCTCTGAAAGAGCAGCAAGATCATAGCACCTGAGCAGCCGCCACCAGTGCTCTTGAAGGATTTCATATGTGCGGTGTCTCCTGCCTCATCCCTCTTCGACTTTCTTCTTGAGTTAAAAACCGTCTCTGTGGTTCTGTCTCTCCTTCAAACCGGCTCTTTCCTGCCTCCTTGAAATGCACTTCCGTTCCACACTCTGGTAGAATCTCAAATAGCCAGTGATTACACTGCACAAAATTAGTGATGTTTTCAAAATACTCTGCTTCCCCAGCCCTTTCATTCCTGACTTGTCCGTCTGCCTGCCCACCCCACCCTTTGTTCATTTACTTATCTTGAGACAGTGTCTCATATAGTTAAGTTAAACTTAAACTCACTGTTTACCCGAAGAT